GGTGGGGGGGGGGGGGGGGAGCGTCAGGTACAAACGAGCTGGCCCACTGCTGCTCCCCACCTGGGCGGTGGCAGATCTGAGACCAGTTTCTCGCCAAAGTAAGGCTGGGACTGTGGCAGCTGTGAATCTGGGTGGCTGGGCTGAGGGGCTGCGGACTCTTTAAGTCTTGCTGGGCCTTTTTTGGGGGGGCGAGACGGCGTGACTTCTCAGAGGCAGCCTCCAGAGAATTTGGGTTCTCTTCAGTTCAGAGATGCATCATGTTTTAGTTTTGTGTGAGAGTTTGGTGGTTTAAGGACGTGGTTGGATTTGGCTCGAATTGAGGCTGCTTTCCTAGCTCCTTTCTGGAGTCAGACTTGCTTCGGGGTTCAGGGGACATTAGTGTCTAGGTAGATCTGGGACCCGGCAAAGTGATTGCAGTTCACGGCTTGGCCATAATAGGTGTTCAGTAAAAGTTTGTTGGACTAATTTACTTACTCAGATATATACTGAGCTTTTACTACGTGGAGCAGGTACCGTTCTAGGTGCTTGAAGCATGCCGGGATGCAAAAGAGACAAAACATCTCTGATCCAGTGGCCTTCAGGCTCTAATAACACAAGCATGTCAAGTGTATGAGAAGGTGATGAGGGTTATGGGAACAGAGCGAGGCAAAGGAATCATGAGTGGAAGGGGGGATTGAGTTGCACATTTAAATGGGTGGATTCTCATCTGTGATTTGGTCAGTAACATTCTAAAACAGGGGACTGAGGTATAGGTCCTGACCCTCAGTTCAGCCCCCGTTGTGCCCACTTACCATGTGACTCCGGGCAGGAGCCTTTCCTTCTCTGAGCCTCTTCCCCCCCCCCCCGCCCCCCCGTATTCCTGTTCTGCGTCTACTGGCTACTGGCTACATGACCTTTGGCGTGAATGTCTCTGACCCTCTCCTGCTTTGCAGTTTTAGGGGTCTGAGTCAGAGTTTCTGCTTCTGCTTCCTCACTCCAGGATGTATGGCTTCCCAGGGACCTGGGCCAGTCACTGCTTCTAGGACTGCCAGCCTGGGGTGGCCCCAAACCCACGCCCTCTCCAATTAACTGACTCTTCCAGAACCTGGAACAAATTGCAGCGCTAAGGTTCAGAGATGTTATCCTAGGAGCAGGAACGTGCTCCGTGTGAAGCATGACTCAGGAGTGGCTCTTGTGAAGGAGGCCCGAGGCAGCTGCCCTCGGAATGTGGGTGCTTGGGTGGGAGGGGGTGAAGATCGTCCCCACTCTAGCCTGGCTGGGGCCGTTTGGGACATTGCGGAGCCAATAGTTGAGAGCACCAACTTCAGGGCCGGCAGTCTTGGGTTCAAACCCTGGATCAGCGGCTCAGTGGCTGTGTGACCTCCAGCCACTTACTCCACCCTCTGAGCCTCAGCCTCTCCTCTTTTAATGGACAAGAGGTGGAGATGGATTTAGCTCCCATTGCTGTCTGACCTCCAGGATGGTGGTGTGGATTCAGTGGGGTCTCTTCATGTCAGTGTCATCACACCGGTCCATTCCGGGCAGGGGCTAGGTGGGTAAGGCCAAGCAAGACTTGTCAGGGCGGGAGGGGGCTGAGGGTTCTGCTTTAGGAGTCAGGAGGATGATGGACTCTTAGGGAATTAAGACTGTGTCGACCGAAGGGATGTATTTGGGTTTTAGGAGAAATGGAAGTTGCTTGGAGATAGGGCGGAGAGAAGCAGGCAGGAGGGAGGGAAAGGGGACATATTCTGAGGGTCAGAGTGGCGTGGAAGGGTGTGGGCAGGGGTGTGGGGTGGCTGGCGTGGCATCGATCAGGGCAGGTGGGTGTCTCCCTGTGTTGGTGGGGGCTTGGCAGGCTCCCTCTCCCGGCCGTGAGGAGGGCAGAGCCAGAACGACGAGGAAAATGATGAGTAATGGGCACTCGAGGCCTGGTCTGAGCAGCTGGTGCCGAGCCCAGAGATGCCGACTGCCTGCCCCACCCCCCAGGCTGGGGGCACATCCCCCCCTCCTTGCTGTAGGCCCCAGGGACGGAAAAGTGCGTGCCCTCCTTCAGGCCGAACAGTCTCGGAAGCCTCACCCGGGCCTGAGATGATGGGCGGGCTCTGCGCCAGACCCGCCAGGGCCTCCCAGCTTTTGCTGCCCCGGGAGAGGATCTGGCCTGCTTGGGCAGCCGAGAAGGGGAGGTGCCCTGCCTCGCTCCCTGGCCGCGGCCGGTGCCTTGCCGACTCCCAACAGTCCAGGTGCCCTCGGAGGGCCTGTTCCTGGGATCTAGCTCCCTCGGCTGCACAGGTTTCTTAAAGTTTGTTTTTTTAAAATGTTTTATTTATTTCTGAGAGAGAGAGACAGCATGAGCAGGGGAGGGTCAGAGAGAGAGGGAGACACAGAATCCTAAGCAGGCTCCAGGCTCTGAGCCGTCAGCACAGAGCCCGACGTGGGGCTCCAATCCATGAACTGTGAGATCATAACCTGAGTGGAAGCCGGATGCTTAACTGAATGAGCCACCCAGGCGCCCCTGCACAGGTTTCCTTCAGTTGTTATTAAGTGTCTGCTGTGTGCACTCCACTTGCTTGCATAGAAGCGAGAGCGGGAAGTGCCGTGAAGGCAGACGTAACCTGGTTCCTTCCTCGCCATGTCACTTCCCCGCGTAGGGTTTCAGGCAAGTGGTGTCGTGGGCTGGGGCCTCCGTTCTTTCTAAGATGAGAAACAGCAGGGCTCAGCGGCTGCTCAGAGTCAGCGCTGGCCTGGGCAGCGGAGCCCTGGCTGAAAAGCTGATGGAGGGCACCCTTGGGTGTGTCTCACATTCCTGCCCATCTCAGTTCCCTGATCTTAAAAAAACATGGCCAGTAACACAAACTATAGTACAGAACATTTTTTAAATTTTTATTTATTTATTTATTTTTTAAAACGTTTTATTTATTTTTAGGAGAGAGAGAGAGAGAGACAGCGTGAGCAGGGGAGGGTCAGAGAGAGAGGGAGTCACGGACTGAAACAGGCTCCAGGCTCTGAGCTGGCTGTCAGCACAGAGCCCGACGCGGGGCTCGAACCCACGAACTGCGAGATCATGACCCAAGCGAAAGTCGGACGCTTAACCGACTAAGCCACCCAGGCGCCCCTATAGTACAGAACATTTTGGAGCGTCCTCACTGTGCAGGTCAAGACAGACCCCGAGCCATGTGATTGGAAGCCATTGTGCCAGATGGGCCCTGTGCCTTGTCTCCCCACACTCTCTTGTAACCCTCTGTGCTTTGTTCCCATTTCATGGATGGGGGAACTGAGGGGCGACCAACTTCTCTAATGACACATGGCTTAGCAAGTGCCAAGCTAGGAGCCGATCTCAGGGCTGGTTGTGTCTCTCCTTGCCTTCTGTGATTACAGTCCCTTCCAAGGCTCATGAATGGAGCAACTGACGTGGGGTTGGAGCCCAGGAAAAGGCTGCCGCTGGGAATGATCACGTCCCTGGAGGCTGCATACGGGTACCCTGCTGTGGAGATACGGGCCTCTGTGCCCCATGAGGGCAGGGCCCAAACCTGGCACGTTTTCCACCGCCCCACGCCAAGCCGGTTGGGTGCTGAGATAAAACAACGCCAAAACTCCTAGGGGCCTGTGATAAACGAAGCACAGCCCTTGTAGACCAGGCACTTGCGGTGCTTCTGGTCCTGTGTGCGCAGTAGTCAACACCCAGAGCTTTCGGTACTACCCTCTCAGCTTTTCCATGTACACAAGCTGATTTTTGAACCGTTAACTTTTTTTTTTTTAATTTTTTTTTCTAATGTTTTATTTATTTCTAGGAGAGTGAGAGAGACAGTGTGAACAGGGGAGGGTCAGAGAGAGAGGGAGTCACAGACTCTGAAACAGGCTCCAGGCTCTGAGCTGGCAGTCAGCACAGAGCCCTACACGGGGCTCGAACCCACGAACCGCGAGATCATGACCCGAGCGAAAGTCGGGCGCTTAACCGACTAAGCCACCCAGGCGCCCCTCACGCTACCTTATTTTTAATGGCAGCACACACACACATAATACCCTAAGGGTCCAAGACTGAGCAAGGTGTAGCTTACATTGTATGTGGGATATTATTTAGCCACGAGAAAGGACGTGGTTGGGGCGCCTGGGTGGCTCAGTCAGTGAAGCGTCCCACTCCATGTCAGCTCAGGTCTTGATCTCAGGGTCATGAGTTCAAGCCCCATGTTGGGCTCCATGCTGGGCGTGAAGCCTACTTAAAAAAAAAAAAAGTGAAGTTGTTGAAGTTTAGCGACAAATGCACATGATGTAAACAGAAAAACGGCGTCCACACATTGTAGTTGTTATTTTTGAGTTTTGAGTTTCCTTTCTTGAATTACACGTCCATGCCTATGAAGACTGCAGTAACCTTCTTTTTTCCATTTTAGTGGGGACGCCCTCCAGCTTCTATAGAGCTGCATAATTAATTTTATTAAAACCACACAAAAAACCGTTTTCTACTTTCAGGATAGGTAGGAGGAGATGAACGCTTTTCATTGAACATGGAAGTTAACGAGGCAAACAAAAAACAAAGGTGTTAAGGTCAGATCCTCAAGTGAATGGGGCACATGGTAAAAGGTTTTACTTTCTTTTTTTTCTTAAAAAATTTTTTTTTAATGTTTATTTATTTTTAAGAGAGAGAGCACGAGAGAGCATATCGGGGCAGGGCAGAGAGAGAGGGAGACAACAGAATCCGAAGCAGGCTCCAGGCTCTGGGCGGTCAGCACAGAGCCTGACATGGGGCTCGAACTCCCAACCACGTGATCATGACCAGAGCCAAAATCAGGAGTCAGGCGCTTTAACTGAGCCACCCAGGCGCCCCCAACAACTTGAAAGATAATTAAAAGTAACCTATCAGGTTGTATGTTACAAAAGCAACATCCATTCACAGCAGAAAATGGAGACAGAAAAAGATGAGGAAGCAAAAATCAACTTGATTCCATCCTCCCAGAAAGGATGACCAAAGCCTCGTTGTTGCAGGCACAAAGCAAGGTTAGTTTACCAACATGGAAGTTTACTGTCCTAGTGTTTTGTGGCCTTTGGCGCTTTTGATCCGTTCGTTCAACAAGTATTTACCGAGACGTTGGTGTGCTCCAAGTGCCATTGTAGGCATGCGAACCCCAGCAGTGCACTAAACAGGCCCCGGCCCTTGGGCAGCTCCCATTCTTGAGAGGGGACGGCGTTAGACCACAAAGTAGGTAAATGACCAGAATGGTTACCGAGCGTGCAAAGTATGGGGTATGGGCCGTCCCCGGGAGAGACGAGGGTGGGGTAGGGTGGGGCAGTGTTGGGCAGGGTGGCCCGCAGACGCCTTGCCTGGTCAGGGGACAGCGCAGCTGAGAGAGGACAGAGACAGTGGGCAGCAGACGGTGGGGCCGTGGACTCTTCTACTTCGTTATCATTCTCTGCCCCTCCCCCCTTTTAAACTTTCTTTTGAATGGCGTCCTACTGTGCGTATATACGTATACGTATATCTGCATACATACATGTACGTACACCCTTCTGCAACTTTTTTTGAAAATTTTATTTTTTAAATTTCAGCAAAATACATACAAAACATAGCATCGTAATCATTTCTGGTGTGCAGTCCAGTGGCGTTCAGTTACTTCACGCTGCCGCATCGCCACCCATCTGGCTCCGGAACCTCCCCGTCTTCCCAAACCGAGACCGTATCCCCATTGAACATTAACCCCTCCCTCTCCCTGCCCCCACCCTTCTGCTTTCTTTCTGTCTCTACGGAGTTGAGCACTGCAGGTAGTTCGTATACGTGGAATCATACCGTATTTATCTTTTTGTGTCTGACTTAGTTTACATAGCATAATGCCCTCAAGGTTCACTGTTGAACCTTGTTCATCTTGTTGCGTGAGTCAGAATTTTCTTCCTTTTCAAGGCTAAATAATAATCTGTTGTATGGATAGAGCACGTTTTGTACATCCTTTCATCCTCCGATGCACCCTTTGCTGCTTCCCCCTCTGCTTCTTGTGAACACGGGTGTGCAAATGTCTGGTCACATCCCTGCTTTCAGTGCTTCGGGGTGTGTGTATATCAACAAGGACAATTGCCGGACCTTATGGTAATTCTGTGTTTAATTTGTGAGGAGCCTCCATGCTGTTTTCCACAGCAGCGGCACCATCTTCCAGCTCACCAGGAGCATAGAAGGTTCTAGTTTCTCCACATCCTCGCCAACGTTGTTTCTTTCCCCCCCTGGTTTAGTTTTTTGTGTTTTGATAGCAGCCACGCCCACGGGTGCGAGTGGTGCCATTCGTTTTCATTACTCAACATTCTCGGGATTTGGCCACGTTGATAATGTAGGTCATAAGTCAGAGTGTGAGTTTTTTTACTCAGGGTTTAAAATCCGTTTTATTGAGGCATGATTTATATCCAATAAAACGCATCTCTCTTTTTTTAATTAAAAAAATTAAAAAAAATTTTTTTTTAATGTTCTATTTCTTTCTCAGAGAGAGAGAGAGACAGCTTGAGCAGGGGAGGGTCAGAGAGAGGGAGAGACACAGAATCGGAAGCAGGCTTCAGGCTCTGAGCTGTCAGCACAGAACCTGACACGGGGCTCGAATCCACAAACTGAGATCATGACCTGAGCTGAAGTCAAACACTTAACCGACTAAGCCACCCAGGTGCCCCAATTAAAAACAATTTTTTAAGTTTATTTTTGAGAGAGAGAGTGAGCGCGATTGGGGAGGGGCAGAGAGAGCAGGAGAGAGAAAATGGCAGTCTTTTCAACAGAGGCTCTCCGTGTCGGGAAGTAAATGACCTTTAACCCCTACTGCGTATCAGACAATTTCGAAATGGGTCACAGACTTTATGTAATTGGTGGTCCACAGAGGGTCTGGAAGATCTTCCCTTTCCTCTCGTTCTTTTCCAGGGGTCTGGAAGAGTCGGTTATTCTGAAACACGTTGTTGATAGATTCCCAGTTTGCGTTCTCGTTTTCAAACTGACGACATCCCCCCCTACTTCTTTCTCCTCTAGTCTTTCATTTGCTCGTGGGGCTGCTGGAGCTCAGCAAGGAGCCCAACACAGGGCTCGATCTCACAGACCATCAGATCATGACCTAAGCCGAAATTAAGAGTCGGACGCTTCACCGATCGAGCCACCCAGGCGCCCCCAAAACGCAGCCTTTTAATGAGTTTGGTCGATCGATAGCTCCTTGCGTCCTGTCCTACATGTACCTGGACATCTTCTCCCAGCCTCCTACCCCTCACATATTTGTATTCTCCAGAGTGTCTTGGTCCTTCCCACAGAATAAAAAAGACTGGAACAGTCGGAGCTTTAATCAAAGAAAGTGGTGTTCAGTTACTGCCCGCAACAGCTGATACCCCAGGGTTTGGAGATGGAGCCAACGATGTCATTGCTGGCAGTCCCTTACTGAGCACGTCGACAGTAAATCAGAAGACTGCCTAAGCAGAGTCTCTAGTTCACAGACATTGGAAGCCTGAAAACGGGGTGCGGTGTTGCCCCTTCAGAAGATGGACTTAACCCATTGGACACTGGGTTTATGAAAAAGTGAATGTCATCCCACTTATTGCCAAGAGCAGACATGCTCACACCAGAGGTGTGCCAAGTTTAAAAAACAGGTAAAGAGATCCAAGCACGTAAAGTAAAAACATACACATTTCCAGAAGCAGAAGGTGAGGAAGAAGGAAAGCTTGTTAAAAACCCGTAGGGCTGTTCACCTCTCGCTATGGGAGGGAGTGATGGAGTGAGCGGAGTTAACTGCAGAGGGTTGGGGGAAGGCTGCCTCCTTGGGTGCCAGCTGCTGGAGCTGAGAATGGTGAATGTTGGGGTTTTGCAATTCTAAGAATTAGGTTGATAAGGACACGTGTGCAAGGTTTGGAAGATGTCACTGATCGTGTTACGCGGGGGCAAGTGCAGAAGCAGGAAACGGCAGCTGTGCCTGAGAGGGGGGTGGGTAACGAATAAAGGGCGACATGCCCAGAGCCCCCTGGCACGATGGAAGAACGGAGTGTGTGGCTAACGTTGAAGGAGCCGCAGATGCAGCAGGTGTTTGAGACGAAGGACAAAGAAAAAGATCGAAAACTGAAGGACTCTGAAGCTGAGCTCCAGCAGCGCCACGAACAAATGAAAGACTAGAGGAGAAAGAAGTAGGGGAGCGTGTCGTCAGTTTGAAAAGGGGAACGCAAACTGGGAATCTATCAACAGCGTATTTCAGAGTAACCGACTCTTCCAGACCCCTGGAAAAGAACGAGAGGAAAGGGAAGATCTTCTGAACCCTCTGTGGACCACCAATTGCATAAAGACTGTGAACCATTTCTAAGTAAGTCTTGTGTCTGATATGCAGTAGGGGTTAAAGGTCATTTACTTCCCCATACGGAGAGCCTCTGTTGAAACGACTGCCTTTTACCCGTTGAATTCCATCAGTACCTTCATTGGAAATCAGTTGACCACACATGTGCAGGTCTAATTCTAGACTCTCGCTTCTTTTCCCTTGAGCTACGTGCATGTCTGTGTTTGAGCCAACACCCCACTAACTTGTTTGCTGAACCTTTATAGAAATTCTTAGGCCAGATGGTCTCAATCTTCCAACTTTGTGCTGCTTCCAAATGGTTTTGGCTCTTCTAGGTCTTCTTTTCTGTATAAACGTTTCAAACCAGCTTGACGATTTCTACAAGAAAGCTTGCCGGGATTTTGATGAAGATGACATTGAATCTATGGACCAGTTTGGGCAGAATGAATATTGAGTGTGTCAATCCATGAACATAGTGTATCTCTCCATGTAGTTAGATATAATTGAATTTCATGGATAGGAAGATTCAATATGTATCTGCACGGTATGAAGAGTGTGGTTGTGTCCGTGTTTGTCTAACTGCCTGTTGTTTGCTTAGATTGCATCCAGTTCATATCTGAACATATCTGAACATATCCATAACTATCTTGGTCAGTCTGTCTTTGTGCACACCCTGAATGCTTCTCTAGAAAAAAATCTGTGGCCGGGTAAACCTTCTTGGCTCTTCTTTGCTACCTGCCTTATTTAAAGTAGTGATTTGTGTGCAGTGGAACATGCAGTGTCGGTGCTCTGGGCGTGTTTTGATGGGTTCCCAGCAGCACAGCGAGTCAGGACAGGAGGCAGCAAACTGTGGCAGCCGGCTAGCGTTGTTTTGCAAGGCCCTCGAGCTAGGACATTTAAAAAAATATATTTTTAATACATCGTAAGAAAACAAAAACAAAGAATATGTGATAAAGATCTACATGGCCCACAATGTAGACAAGACTTGCCAAGTCCTGATTTAGAGCACAGCTCTGCACCAGCCGATCGGATCGAGTCCCCACCCATGACTCACTAGCTGGGGACTGACTGTGGCCAAGTCTCTCAGCTCTTAAAGTTCTGTTCTGTTTCTTCTTCTGTAGAACAGGGGCAGTGAGGATACACGGAGGGCTTTTTGTTTTTCTCCCCTGCCTGAAGTTGGAGGAACTTGAGTGGTGTGAGTGCACATGTGAATCAAGATGGGCTTGTCACCGGCATTCTTGTCCCGGGCTCCGTGCACGGCCCTGGGCGTCAAGCTCATAAACCGGCTCGGCCATCTAGCTGGAAAGACGGGGCACACACACCAAAGCCACTCTCCGCCCCCGCCCCCGCCCCCATAGTGCCGCTTGCCAACCTGGTGCGCTTGACCTCAGTGAAAACAAACAAACAAAAACCCTAAAACCTCTGGCTTCAGGTGAAGAGGCTTGGAATTCAGAACCTTGAACCCATCATTGCCACGTGACCATTTTAAATGTTAGCTTCTAACTGCCTCTCCCTCTTTGCACGGCCCGTGTCTGGGAGACTGGCCCAGCAGGGTTGGGGAAGGGCGGTCAGTGATGACACGAGAATGCACTCAGTTGTGCCTCTGGCTGGGGGTGGCTCAACACTTGGGATTGGGTGGGGGAGGGTCCCGAGAGGCACAGGATCCTTGGGAAAATCCAAGGGGGATCTGAGGGTCCTGGTGGCGTGCGTGGAATGGGCTGAGCCTTCTGTCCAGGAGGTTAACGGCTGTGGCAGCCAGAGCAATAGCTGGAGAGGCTCGCGGCCCGCTCGTGCAGACCCTTGCAGGTCTCTGCTCTCGGGGATCACACCCCCTGAGGAGGGGCTGCCCCCACCTCCCAGCTCTGCACAAGCCTTCTTCAGCTTCCCCGGAGTGCTGTGTTTTTCTGGTCCCTGTGGATGGAATGGGGAGCCCAGACGTCCAGAATTTCACTTGTCCCTCTCAGGAAGGATTCTGACCTCTTCGGAGCCGCTGGTCGGCGCTTCGAGTGAGTTTAAAATAATGGAGCCGCGTATGAAGTGAGCTGCTTTGTTTCCCCAGGTTCCCTCCCTGAGGCCGGCGCTCTGTCCAGCCGGCCCACTGCCACCGGCCGTCCACGGAGAATGCGGATGCTGGCTGCTTCCTGGGGGTGTCGCTCCGCGCAGAGGTAGGCCCCCAGCCTCGCCCTTTCAGGCGTAGCCCTCAAGCACGGACCCAAGAGGAAGTTATTTTCGGTGAAATAACGGAATTGCAGTTCTCTTGTTTTGGTTTTTTTCCTTTTGCTTTTTTTCAAGCCCTTATCTTTTAAGGACACACACCGATGAACCGAGACGGTATCTGGGTTTGCTAACCAAAAAGAGGAAGTGGGAGTTTGGGCCGAAGCAAGGGTGGCTGTGCACAGCTCCTTGTTGAAGCTGGGTGCCGGTGTGTGGGCATGAGCCGTCTGTGTGTGTTTCCGGTGCCCAAAGTTAAAAAGCGAGAGAATGCAAGGGAGGCCTTAGGGGTCCAAGTGCTCGGGCTTCCTCCCTGGCTCTAGCACTCCTTCGCCGTGAGACCTGAGCCCAGAAGGAACCCCTGTCTCCGAGTCAGTCAGCTGGGGCTAATCACAGTTGCCCTGGGGAGTTTTCCAAGAAATGATGCATGGAAACCCCTAAGTCTGCTACCTGGGACTTGAGCAGCACCCAGAATACCTGTCCTGGCTGGGGGCCTGCCTGCTGGGGACCTGGGCCGGTCAGCCCCTGGCTGGCCATTTCAGGAGAGGGTGGGGGTCCGCTCCTGGCGGTGGACCCACCGCCTCTGCCTTTGATTAAACCACATTGGCTCCACTTAATCTTGGTCCGGGCAGTGGTTTGGAGCTGGAATCGGTGGTCAGATCCCTGGGTGTGATTTCTGCGAAAACTTGAGGTGGCTGAAGCAAATCCAGTGACCTGTTTTTATACATTTTCTTTGGGAATAGTTGGTAACTCACAGAAAGTTGCCACGACTGTGCCGGGGAGGTCCTACGTTCCCTTCGCTCGGTTTCCCCCGGGGGTGCCACATCTTCGGCATGTTGGTAGTACAATGTCACGGTATCACAACCAGCAAAGTGACATTGGTACGATCCACAGGCCTGTTCACAAGTCGTCAGTGTTACACGTACCCGTTTGTGAGTCCTCGGAGCCGTACCGTCACGCCCAATTCCCAGAGCGGGACAGCGAGGCTTGGAGAAGTGGCTTCCTCGACAGGTGGCAGAGCCAGGACGTGCGACCAGAGTTGTGCGCTGAGCCAGTAGCCCCCGCCTCCCCGCAGCAGTGGCTGCCGTTCACCCGGGCCCCCTGTGTTCTCTTGTAGGTGAGCCCCGGCCAGCATGGGGGACCCCAGGAGCCTTTGCCCCCACCTTGACTCTATAGGGGAGGTGACCAAGGAGGACTTGCTGTTCAAATCTAAGGTAAAGGGTCCGACCTTTCAGAGCTGGTGCCCACACCCAGGGCCACTGGCTTCCTAAGGTACAGATGCTTCCGAAGGAAGCGTTTGAAGGAGTTGAAGAACCGGCTCCCAGACAGTCTCTGCTTAGCCTTTTGTGTAAATGGAAGGTCTGGCGCCTGTGCGGGAAGCCTTCCGGGGCTGCGGCCCAACAGCTGTTAATTACCCCTTAGATCAGTCCCTTTGGGAGCCACTAATGCCCTGTGCATTAGCCGCTGGAGCCTTTCGGAGGCAGGGAATGAATCATGCTCTGAGAGTCTGCCGACATTTGACTCGTGTGACCTGGGGAGGATCTGGGGAGGCCCAGAGCAGGAAGGTGGGCCTCTCTGCGTGGGGGGGAGGCGTCTTTCTTTGCTAAAGTGTTTTGAATGGGTAATACTTTTCTCTGGTTCAAAATCGAACACTGTAAAAGTATCCATGTCAATAAAAAATTTTTTTAAGTAGGGGGTTGCCTGGCTAGCTTGGTCGGTAGAGCATGCGACTCTTAATCTCGGGGTTGGAGCCCCACATTGGGTGTGGAGCCTACTTAAAATAAGAAATTAAAGAAAAAAAGTCAGGAGTGCCTAGGTGGCTCGGTCGGTTAAATGTCCAACTTTAGCTCAGGTCATGATCTCCCAGGTTGTAGGTTTGAGCCCCACATTGGGCTCTGTGCTGACACCTGCTTTGGATTCTGTGTCTCCCTCTCTTGCTGCCCCTCCCCTGCTCATGCTCTGTCTCTCTCTCAAAAATAAACATTAAAAAAATGCCAAGATGTCCCCTTTCCCACCCTCTGTATTCCCCCGCCCCATCCCACCTTTAGGGAGCCAATTACATCAGTTTCTTTTGTATTTTTTCAGAGTTTCTCTATGCAAATACATGCAAATATGCTTATTTTTCATTTCCCTCTTCATGATGTAAAAGGTAACATACTATACCATAGATGCTTTTTAAAAATTTGTTTTCTTGTTTTGAATTAATTTATTTTAGAGAGAAAGGGAGAGAGAGAGGGAGGGAGGGCATGAGGGGCGTAGGGGCAGAGAGAGAGGGAGACAGAGAATCCCACGCTAACCCACTAACCCTGAGATCTTGAGCTGAGCTGAAATCAAGAGTTGGACGCTTAACTGACCGAGCCCCCCAGGCGCCCCCAGACACCTTTGTAACTTGCTTCCTTCGTAGGACAGTAGATCTTGGAGCTCTTTCAGCCCCAGTACCTAGAGGCCACTCTGTCCTTGTTTGCGCTGGAGTCGCACGGGGTCTCGTTGTGGGAACCCCGTACCCGAGCCTCTGCGGGTGGACACCCAGGCCCTTCACACGTGCTGCGGGCGGTGCTGTGAGAGACAGCCCCCTGCACGTGCTGTCCCGTGTTGTGGGGGCAGAGCGTGTGGGGGGCACGGGCCCAGGAGAGGGGGTCCTAGACTCACGCTCTAAATTGCCCGCTCTTCTTTCCGGGCCCCTGATGGCGGTCCCTCCGCCTCCCTGTCCCGGCAGATCCTGGGTGGCCTTTGGCCTGAGCCGGTTCAGCCTGGGCCTGCGGGAGGGGTCAGGTCTTCAAAGTACCTGTGGCTTTGTTCGAAGCAGTTTCGGTTCTCGTGTGGTCTGGAAGAGGGCAGAGCGAGGCCGTGGGGCCTTTGCGGGCACGCGGGGTTCTCTCTGAGTCTGCAGAGAGAACTGAGGAGACAGACCGAGGGGATTTTCCTCCAGAGGAGGCAGGAATAGGGGGATCCGAGGGCAAAGAGGTGAGCGAGGAGTCAGGACCTGGGCTGGGGCATGGTAGCCTTTGGAAGTGTCAGGTCTCCTGGGGCAGAAGGACGGAGAGCACCTGGAACGTGTCAGGCCTATGTTTCAGAGAGTACGTCTTCCGCCCTTCTCTGAGCAGCCAGAAATCTGCGCAATGGGACCAAGATTGTTTTAAAACACCAGAAGGGGTAGGGGTGTGAACAGGGCCGGCACAATGCAGGGGATGCAAATGGCCCAGGACCTCCAGAAAAAAGGTGCTTAACTTCACGAGCAGCCGGGGATATTGCCCCGGATCACAAGGTGGTAGCATTTTTCATCTGCCGGACATACCACAGGCTGATCCAACCCGGGCTGACAGTGACGGAGGGGAGGAGACCGACCGCACACGTGGGGGGCGGGGTGGGCATTCCTGTCACTTCAGGGACCCAACCCCACGCATGGGAATTCATCCCGCAGAGGTGTGAGTACCAGTTATAAAGACACACAGCAGTAGTTACTGAGCCTGGTTTGTCATGGGGACAGCTGGTGGCAGCTAAAGGGAATGGCTGATGACAGAGTGCCCGCAGCATGGGGTGCTGTGTCATCACGGCAGACGGGCAGATGTGGCGTCTGCGTGCAGACGTGGAAAGCTGACCATAAAAAGGTGACAGAGGCCTGTGTCCGAGAAATATGTCTAACGTGACCTTATTTTTCCTAAAAATCACACCCAGTCCCCTAAGTGTATGCATATATGTTGTATCAGAAGAAAGGATAGCGGGGGTGGGGGGACCACCTGGGTGGCTCAGTCGGTTAAGCGTCTGACTTCGGCTCAGCTCACGATCTCACAGCTCATGAGTTCAAGCCCCACGTCGGGCTCCGTGCTGACAGCTCAAAGCCTGGAGCCTGCTTCCGATTCTGTGTCTCCCTCACCCTGTTTGCGCTCTGTCTCTCTCTCAAAAATAAACATTAAAAAAAAAAGTACGGAGAGATATGCCTCAGGTTATTCCAGCATATGTATTTATTATATGTTATATGCTCTCCTTGAGATTGTATACAGCATGTATGTGTCATTTGAACTGTTAAAACACGCATACAGGGCTCCTGGCTGCCTCTGTAGAGCATTCGGCTCTTGATCTCGGGGTCTTTGAGTTGGCCTTGAGCCTAAAGAAGAAAAGCAGACAAGCACAGGATACTTTTGTCATTCAAACGACTGTAACCAAAAGGAAGCCCTGGAAGGAGGAAGTGAATTGTGAAATCAGAAAATCAGAAAACAGATTACAAATTCAGGAAGGGCAGGGGCGGGGCCTGGAGGTAGCCCAGTCTCCTGCTGTCTCCCCAGCACCCTCAGTAGGAGACCCTGAGTCAGATTTCGGATCTCAGGTCCAACCTGCTTCCCCGCAACCCTACGGGAGCTCCGTGTTCAGGCCCTTTGCTGACACAACCAGCAACTGGGCTCGGTGAGAACACAAAATTCCTGCCGAGGCATGAGAAGGGGAAGCCGCTCTCCTGTTGGGGGCGCCCTATGACCCAGGCTCCTCCACTTCCCCTCCTGACCTGCTCTGTAGCAGGGTGTGACCTTGAGCCTGGGTTCCTCATGTGTCCAAAAGAGCTGCCACCCACACACTGGTGGGGATTGCAGGAGCGGCGTGTGGAGAACTTAGCCACGGCCGTCCTCGGCAGGGGTCACCCTCGCTCCGACTGAACCCCGGGGTGTGAGTGCTGTCGGAGCTGGCACTTGGAATCGGCTTCACAGCTCACGGGGGCACAGTGGGCATCATGGAGGCTCAGCTGGGAATTGCTGTTTTAGACCCACACAGCAGACAAGGTTACTTAAGGCACGATTTAAGTTATAACGAAAACGTCGAAATAATAGCATCTTAAATGAGAGAGACGTTTCCTTTTCTCATAGAACAGTCCAGAGGGACATGGGATGCCAGGGCAGCCCTGCCCTTCCCAGTACATGGCTTTCATTTCTGAGTCCTGGCTTGCCCCCCATCCTGCCATCACATCTGTATTCCAGCCGGTGGGAGGAGGAGGAGCAAGTGGCAGATCCACAGCCCGGAAGTGGCATGTCCCTTTCGCTGTCATCTCATTGACTAGAACTGAGCCCCATGACCACAGTGGGGCCGAGAAACAGTCTGCTGCTGGCTGGCCGTGTGCTCAGCCCAAATCCGCACATCCCGTTGCTAAAGCAGGCAGGGGAGGCACTGGGAGGCCAGCAGCGGGCTCTGTCACCCGAACGCCAGAAACCTGGCATTTTGTGTGCTCATCCAATGCACTGATGTCCCCTGGGGTGCCTGGGTGGCCCAGTCGGTTAAGCCTCCAACTCTTGATTTTGGCTCAGGTCACTATCTCAACGGTTCGTGAGTTTGAGCCCCTCACTGGGTTCTGTGCTGACAGTGCTGAGCCTGCTTGGGATTCTCTCTCTCTCTCTCTCTCAACAATAAACTTTATAATTACTTGCGCTTACTGTCTCTCTCAACAATAAACTTTATAAATAAATAAATACATTTCTTTAAGATAATTAAAAATGTATTGATGGCCCAATTTGTACTAGGCTCTGTGAAGCCACAGGGGTAGACAAAATAGACCATCCCTCTTTCATGGAGACCAGAATCTAGACGGGGAGAAAGGCTTACACAGTCATCAAAGGAAGAGTCGGTGCGATAAAATGCATGTTAACAGGTCTGTTCATTTGAGTTTTAAAGGATTTTACTGAAAATGTTTTTGCAGCACATAAGGAAGCAAAATATGAACGGTAAAGCATAAGGTGCCCTGTGAAGGACATTTACTTATTTATTTTTTGTTTGTATTTATTTTATTTATTTTTATTTAAAAAGGTTTTTTTTAATGTTTATTTATTTTTGAGAGAGAGAGACACACAGTGTGAGTGGGGGAGGGTCAGAAAGAGAGGGAGACACAGAATCCGAAGCAGGCTCTAGGCTCCGAGCTGTCCGCACAGAGCCTGACGCGGGGCTCGAACCCATGAACCATGAGAACACGACCTGAGCTGAGGTCCGCCGCTTAGCCGACTGAGGCCCCCAGGCGCCCCGAAGAAGGACATTTATATCGGCAGGCTGGTGGAGGCCTTTCCCCGGCAAAAAAGCCTTTAAGTGGAGAGCTGTGGGGGGCGGGTGTTGGCGTCCGGGGGGCGGGTGTTGGCGTCCAGCAGGCAGGTGAGTGTACGGTGCCTCTGGCCGGGGCGCCGCCCCAGGCTGCTCACACTTGGCTCTTTCCCTCCCCCTCCCCTGGCCCAGGGAGCCTGTCAGTCGTGTGGTGTTACTGGACCGAACCTGTGGGCCTGTCTCCAGGTAAGGTTCCCCTGCCGCCGTGGGGGGCGTGGGGCTTGGTCTGGACTCTGGGCTGGGAACGTCTGCCTCTGGCGGGCACCGCTGGGAACTTCGGGCCGGGACACAGGGCACGGATGTCTGAGGGGCAGGGGCCTGAGCCAAGGGGGCGCCAGAGTCAGCCAATCCCTGCCTGAGCAGCCACCAAAAATGACAAGAGGAAACGACAGGCTGTTTCCAGAGCAGGACTCCAGACTAAATGATCCCGTCCACAGAAAAGGCAAAGCTCTGTACTCACACGTGTGCACATGGGTGCGTGTGCGTGTGCATCCAGCAAAACCCAGTCACGGTTCGTTGTTACTGCTTATTAGAGAGGCATCAGAATGTGACCGTTTTCTATGGGGAATGGGATTTGGGGGTAGTTCCATTTTTTCTCTGGAATTCTTGTGGCGTTTCCCACAATTTTCTGCAAGTATGTATTTATTAAATTTAAATCCTGTTGAAAATGGCTGTTACTTAAATTTTCTTTGAAAACAAATGCAAGTAGAAAGAAAAAAGAACAAAAACAAGGACACATGGGCCACCAGGGGACTCTGGCCTCGGCCTTCAGGGCCTGTCGCTCCATTCTAAAGCAGATTGCAGAATACTGTCCGGGCCCTCGGGGGACAGCAGGACACGTGAGGCCTGCTCCTGTGTCCTTGGAGCCCCATTTGCAGGAAGTGGTGTGTCCTTCGTGTCGGGAAGGCCCTCCCAAGCCTGCGCGGTCCTGATCTCTTGTGGAGAAGCAGGCCGGTCGCTGGGCTGCAGGCCTGCAGTGGGCCTGGCGGGTGGGTAGATTTGGGATAGAGAAGTGCAAGGCCAAAGGCAAATCAGGGACCTGCGGGCCCCCCGTGGGTCCCCACTGTGGGCCAGTTTGTGGGTCTCAATTACTGGCCCATAAGGAAGTAGGGGAGAGGGGCTGAGCACCACACAGCCGGGCCTCAGCCGGGCCCGTGTCTTGCTGGGACCCTACCTGGGCTTCTCTGCAGGAGGCCAGCAGCCCAGGGCACCTGCCCACCCTACTCAGGGGGCAGGGCCAGCTTTTAGGGCAGGCGCCCTTTCCGGCTGGAGCTGCAGAGGCATAAAGTGCGTGTTCCCGTGGGGCGGCAGGGCCTCGGCCCTGGTCGCGGAGATGGTCCAGCCCCCAATCGTCTCCCCTTCCCTCTCTCCCCAGGTCGCCTGCCCCTACGTTGGCTGCGGAGAATCCTTCTCTGACCACAGCACCATTCACGCTCAGGTGGGTGCTGGGGCCGGACGCCTGGGCCCTGCAGGCAGGTGGCCCAGGATTCAAACCCCAGCTCCAGCCGCCTCCCAGCTCCATCTCCCTGCTCTGGGCCTCGCTGGCCGTGTCTGTAAAATAGGAACACGAGACACCAGAGCTGATGTAGGTGCACGCGTGTAGCATACGTGCGTGACTGGTAAACGGCAGCCCATGGCCTTCCTGGCTGGAGGAGGGGCACATTCGCTGCTTTCCGGCCCTTTACTGAGGTCGCTGGATGCAGCCTTGGGACACCTGTTGGGCTGGTGTATCCTCAACCTCCCTTTGGATCTTGCCGTCTAGGTGAAAAAGCACCACCTGACGGTGAACCTGACCACGTTCCGGGTGTGGTGTTACGCCTGTGAGAAGGAGGTGTTCCTGGAGCAGAGGCTGGCAGCGCCCCCGGCAGGCCACTCGCCCAAGTTCTCAGAGCAGGTAAGGGGGTGCGGCGGGGTCAGTGCCATTGGTGGTGATGCGATGGGGGCAGGGCCTTGTGACTTCCGCATCGGTGGAGCAGGGATTGGTGGGTCCTGGACAGCATCTGTCCCTGGTCCATGTTCTCAGGTGCCAGTGAACGCTCGTGAGCCCCAGCTGTGTGCCAGGACCCCTGGGGTGGGGGGTTGAGGACACAAAGGTCCTCCTGGGAAGGGCCTCCCCTCGGGAGTTCACAGGCCACGGGCAGGCTGTGTGCAAGGGGCAGGCTTGCCCAGAGCCTGGGCCTGGGGCCAGTGCAGATGCTTCTAGGCCTGTGGAAATACCCCCTCCCCCACCACCACCACACTCTAAGACACCCCCCCGCCCCGGGGAATCCCGAATAGTCAGTGCAGTGCGTTTCTCTGGAAAACACCAGAACCCCCCCTAATGATCCACTGAGCAGTGCACTGTGGGGCACCTGAAGGTGGTGGGCCCGGCAGACCCATGCCCGGAGGGCGTCCTCAGGTCCTGGTCAGTACACAGCTTGTGGGATTGGCTGACTGGAGTCAGAGCTCAGGGAGGCCCGTGCATGTCTCCTCCGTGTTTACACAGCAACTGTCACGTAGTGGGTGCTCAGTAAATGTTTATGGAATGCATTTGCACACGTGGCAGCTGGTTATGATTATTTACAAAAAAGGCTATAAGACAGTATACATACAGTATCTGGTTTGAGGGGGCGTGTGTGTTTTAAGATTAAAAAATTCACATAACTCTGTATAGACGTAAGAGTGGTCGTCTTGGGAAAGTTGGATTGTATGTTATTCGTTGCTTCTGCTTTTTTCCAAATTTATTATAAATCCATTTTTATCAGTGTGAATAAAACCCAAGTTTCCCAGGGTGGGGCTGCCGGAGCCATCTTTTTCTGGGGTGTCCTCTGCCCAGATGGGTCGATCCGGTGTGGGCTGGGGGTGGGGGCTGGGCGACCCAGTTTCCTTTCCTCCTGGGGAGCACGCGGACCTCTGATCCCCACCCCTGCCACCTCGCCTCCCCGATTTCCTCACTCAGAGCCTCTCCCACAGGACCCTCCACTGCCCGTGCACCCTCTCAAAACTGTCCCTATTGCCGTGGCCGACGAAGGAGAGTCTGAGTCAGAGGATGATGACCTGAAACCTCGAGGTAGCTGACCCCAGAGCTGGGGGCACTGTCGGGCCGGGCCGGGGGCCTCCGTGGTGGACTGGGGGAGCTCTGGGGCGCAGTGGGCTGTGTGGGCAGAGTGACTGACGGTCCCTAGAGTGTGGTGGCTTCCCTGGGAGTGCCAGCCATCTGGCCGAGTCCCCGTGGCCTGCCGGTCCTCATCCTCGGCCTCAGTGTGTGACCCTGGGCAGGCTGGCCCCTCCACAGCTGGCCTCCTTGCCTGTGTGCCACGAACGGTGGGCCAGGCTGGGTGGAGGGCAAAGCTGTCCATCTGCTGGAAACGCTCAGACGCCCACAGCTGCCGTGACCGCATTAAGCTAACTTGGTAGACTTCTGGGGAGGGATGCCGGCCACCCACGTCGTCCTCTGGCTGCGTCCTGGTGGCTGTCCGTGAGTGGTGGGACCCTCACCCTGCCTCCCCGGTGTGCATTGGCTCCCTAGGCCTCACAGGCATGAAGAACCTTGGCAACTCCTGCTACATGAACGCTGCCCTGCAGGCCCTGTCCAACTGGTAGGTTGTCACCTCGTCTGGTTGCTGGGAGGCCAGGCCCTGTCCCCGGACGCCCTGGGAGCGGCAGCGGCAGCCCCCAGCTGTGTTGTGTTTGTCACCCACAGATGCGTGTGTTTAGATGTGCATCAAACCCCCTTAGGACACATGTGCCCTTTGACCCGGCAGTCCTCCCCCCCCCCCCCCCCCCCCCCCCCCCCCCCCCCAGTTTTTGTCA